CGCCCCGCAGCCCTTACCCGCACTCCCTTGGCCCCGCAGCCCCTGCCCGAGCTCCCTCGGCCCCGCAACCCCTGCCCGAGCCTCCCTCCTCCCTGCAGCCCTTACCCGCACTCCCTCGGCCCCACAGCCCCTGCCCGAGCTCCCTCGGCCCCACAGCCCCTGCCCGAGCCTCCCTCCTCCCTGCAGCCCTTACCCGCACTCCCTCAGCCCTGCAGCCCTTACCCACACTCCCTCGGCCCTGCAGCCCCTGCCCACGCCTCCCTCCTCCCTGCAGCCCTTACCCGCACTCCCTCGGCCCTGCAGCCCTTACCCGCACTCCCTCCTCCCTGCAGCCCTTACCCAAGCCTCCCTGCAGCCCTTATCCGCACCACCGCGGCGCTCCGCCTGCCCAGAGAAGAGCAGGGTGCCCCACTCCTGCCCGACCCCTCTCAAGACCCTTCTTCTTTCCAGCCTCCATGTCCTCTGCTGTAGTGGGGCAGTGGTTCCTAGTTGCGGAGAAAAGCCCCCCGCTGTCTAAAGAGGGATGCACTCTCTGAATAACACCACTTTTTTTCCCCCTGTCTTCATATGTCCTGCTTCCCAGGTCCCCAGTTAGTCCCCTTTTCTTGCCACCCTGTGCTGGGAATGGGGGGACAGAAAGGGGCTCATAGGGTCGGAAGGGACGAAAATGGGTTCATAAGGGCCGGAAGGGATGAAAATGGGCTTATAAGGGCCGGAAGGGACGAAAATGGGCTCATAAGGGTTGGAAGGGATGAAAATGGGCTCATAAGGGCCGGAAGGGACCTTGAGTGGATCATCGAGTCTGACCCCAGCGCTCTTTCCTGCCCAGGGAAAAGATGATCTACTAAGGTCCCTTCTGACAGTAAAAATTTAATAGATTTCATAGATATTAGGGGCTGGAAGGGACCTCGTGAGATCGAGGTGGCGAGGAAAGGGGAAATGGCTGGGGACCTATAAAGGGACCCCAGATTGTGAAGGGCTGGATGGGACCTTGCAAGAGCATCGGGTCCAGCCCCCCTGCCATAGGCAGGAAGTCAGCTGGGATAACGTTCTCCCAGCAAGAAAAATATGCAGATGTTTTTTTGGAAAAGTCCAGAGTAGGTGCTTGCACCACCTCTGAGGGGAGTCTGTTCAAGACCCTGAATCTATTAATCTATTTTTGGGCCCCCTTTCTGTCCTGGTTTGCCCAGGCCTGCGTGCAGCCCTGGTCCCGGGGTAGGGTGGCGAGGAAAGGGGAAATGGCTGGGGACTTGTAAAGGGTCCCCAGATTGTGGAGGGCTGGACGGGACCTTGCAAGAGCATTGGGTCCAGCCCCCCGCACTAGGCAGGACAGACAGGTGGGGTCAGGGAACCCCAGCGAGGGAAGATTTCCAGGGTTAAGTGATTGCACCACCTCTGGAGGGAGTTTATATGGTAATTTTTTTGTCTGATTATCATTATTATTATCATTATCTC